GATAATTATTTATTTCTTGTCTCTGTTGTGCAGGGCACTGCGGTAGGTCGCGTCATAAACCCCCAACAAGCTCCGCCAATTTTGGCACCAAGAGAGCTCGACCCTGCACCGGACACTTCGGGCTCAGTCGATGAGCTCACCTAGTCGTGTATGGTTGGTTTTTCGTGAGCGCCGTCTTGTCCCACTCAGAGCAACGGCTCTTTAGAGTAAGTTCGGTTTTCCCTAAACGCGATTTCCAATTTTCCTAATAACCTAAGTTGAAGTGACATTGTGCCCAAGTGTTGCAGGATCCAGCGTTCCAGCCCACGTGCTTTTGCGTTTTTCCGGACCACGTGCCTGCAGGGCCGCCCCTCCACGCAGGGGCGGATCCAGCTTTCGAGTCAGGGGGGGGTCAAGTAGTAGAAATTGGGTCTTTTGTTGTCCATGAAATTAGAAAAATTCTCGTTAGTCGTTAAAAACCCAGCACAAGGGGGGGGGTCATGACCCCCCCCCTCTGGATCCGCCCTTGCCTCCACGATCCAGCGTTCGGGCCCACGTGCTTTCGCGTTTTTTTCGGACCACGTGCTTGTAGCGCCGCCCCTCCAGGACCACGCGTTTCTGCCCATGATACTAAAACTAACATGTTGTATCATGACTTGGGGAGAGAAGAAATAGCAAAAATGCTCCCTTTTGGCTTTGCCTTAATTCCAAGAACGAATATTGCATATGCAGGGTGGCCATTTTCTGAATCTTTGTATGGGTAACTTCTACATTTTTAAAGATAGAGAATCCGTTAAATGGGCAGAATTTCATTGCCTATTCATTACCTTTTTCTAAATTTAGGTACCCGACTTGGTTCCTGAAATATCCTGAGAAGGCAAGGAATCAGCACTTTTTTAACTATCATATAAACTGCTCAACTTAGAAAAAAACTTAAAATTGTCTTTCGTAGAACTTTTTGCGTTGAATTCAATAAACTAGGACTCGTTGTCATAGTTAACTTGATTTACGAAATTAAATATAAATTTATGTTTTTTTAAATGGTAATCATAGTTGGCCGTGGGCCTTTTAAAATTCTTATTTTTTTCTGAATTTAACGATATAACTGTTTGTATGTTTTTCTCCTTTCGTTGCCGTAAAACTTCAAAAGAAGATAAAAAATGTGTAGCAGACTATGGAAACAAGAACTATATTATCACACAAAGCACAAAACAAAAATGAAATAATTAACGGACACAATTATGTTTACTGGGCTAATGAAAATCATCATCTAATTGAAAATAAGCGAGATCAACGTGTTTTTTTTTTGTGAATGTCTGGTGAGGCATTTTTAGTTATAAAATTATTGGTCCATTCTTTTATAATCACAATTTAAATATGGAAAAATATTTACACTTTTTACCAAATGAACTTGAAGACATGTTGAATAGTTTTCCGTTAGTATCGTATCGAAAATTGGCATATTTTTAACATGATAGTGCACATTCACACAACTCACTAGTTGAATGTGAAGATGCCAAAAGATGCCTGCACGTAAACGGAAGTCAATT